TAGCACAAAGGACCAATGTTTTATGTGTTTAAGGTTTGTTTGTTTATGAGGTAGATAAAAAAGATCATCATTTTATAACTTTCAAGAATAAAAAAAAAACAATAAGGCTGATAACATGAAGAACAGCTTCCCACTGGAATAAAAACATTGTGTTGACAAGGAGCACAAAGGTCTGGGACATAAACATCATCATCCATTGTGTTCTTACATCACTTTGTCTCTATTTATCATTATGACTGTACAAAATAATCATAAAATTTACAGTTTAAAATCTATTCATGAACTGTTTTTTTATTTAGACAATTTGTGATGGAGCCAGAAGATATGCTGATAAAATAAGCTGCATATTAGAGAGAAATGGTTATTATGACAAAGACAGAGAGGCATTTGATATTACAGATCAGGTAATTAAAGCAAAAGCTTTCTGTCTCTTGTACAAAATTCGAAAATCAGTCATGCTTGTATAAATGACCACGATATTGTTTTAAAACTTTTTAAAACGTACAATAACATAAACTATGTAGTAACTCCATAGTTAGTCTCAGCAGTGGCCTGATGGTTGCCAGCTGGTCCTCTACATGTTCACTGAAGAGGATGGGATTCATAATAAATAAAGAGATAATTTTTTTACCTAGTTACATTTTATATCTCAATTTAACACATTTTGATTGTTTTGTTCTTTATTACAGCTTTGCATCACTCTCAATAACATAGAGCATGTAAGGCAGTACTTGAAGGAACTTCCTGCGTTACTGCGCTGGACAGAGGTTGTGGAGGCTGTCTCACTAAAACATGAGTCTGACTCTATTGGCAGAAAAATTGAGCGCACACTTCATCGGTATGTCCAACGGTATCTTATTTTTTAAATTATGATGTTTTACAACATACAAATACACTAGCTTGAGCTTCAGACCCACAGTAGTCCAGTTTCTTTACTTTCAAATTTCCATGTATGTTATCTGATTAGCTTGGAGATTTGAAAATGAAAAAGCTGGAACACATCCACTTTGAAACTCTGGATATATATCACATAAAGGTAATATGACCAATGGTTCTCAACCAAGGAAAAATCTAAACTTTATGTATTTATTATCACTGACTTTACATATTTGTGATTTTGATTACAGGCTAAGGAAAACAGCAAGCAGTGACTTGCTGATGAAAAGTGACCAGTTATTACAGAAGATAGCCGAGCGAATGAGTTCAGATATCAGGCGCCATATTGCTGTATTCACAAATGTTCCCACTACAGAGACTGACAAGAAAGGGAAAGAAAAACCACATAGTGGTGTAAGTTGCACTAAGAGAAAAATAATGAAAGAAAATTTAAAAAAAATAAAGATATTGATTATGTAGAATCACAACTCTATAACCAAGCTTGCATCCTGGTAATTCATTCGAAACACTAGAAGCATAAAATATCCATGTAAAAGTATCTTTCAGTGTCAAATTCAGTTTCCCCAAGATACCACTGTGGTAAACCTGTGATAGGTATCAATTCTATATAATTGTGCAAAACAATGCCATTTATGATTTTCTTTTGTATCCTATCCAGCATGCTACAGACTCTCTCCTCCTGTACATCGACAGCAACTTACAGACTCTGTATGAACGCCTTTTGTCATCAGTGTACCCTCACATAATGGCGGCTATATGGAAGGTCATAGTGCGCTGCATTGATGAGGACTTGCTGAATGGGGTGAGATTTTATGACTTATTATCTATACATTGGGGGTGGAAATGAAGCTCCCTTTTTTGCCTCTGTTCCTAAAGTTTTTAGTTTAATAATTTATTTGACTGTTTTGGCTTTTTTTGTCTAGCATTTCAAGTGATATTGGTATCTCAGCAAAAATGTATAATAGTAATGACAATGCTATCAAAAATTGATAAATAATTTTTATAAATGAGTTTAGTACAATATAGCAAACTAAGTAACTGCAGTATTCATATATGAATTTGTATTTACAAACTGAAAAAAGTCTGAATGCTAATGTAAGGGTGGCATGTATATTTCTCTTAAACTTTATTTCAATTGATTAATTAATGTTTTTCTTTTATTTCAGCAACACCCAGATTATTATACCCAAATTCAAAAGGTCAGTATATATATATATATATATATATATATATATATATGATTAAAGTTATTTTATGAAAGTCTGGAAAAATTCCAGTCCATTGGCTTAAACAGAAAGTAGTTTCTCTTCAAGCATAAACATAATAATAATTTAACTTTTCACACTTCTCCTTTCAAAAACCCAATTAAATGGAATTCATACAAATGAACCATTTTATATTTCAGTATGTTGATATTCTTCACAGTTACTTCACCCAAAATGGAATGCAATATGTAGACATAGATGGTTGCTATGGTAACTTGAGAGATCGTCTGCAGCTGAACTCCTGCTCTACTGAGGAGATTATACTGCAGCACTTTCAATCTTTGGCAGATGATGTGGTGAGTTCTGCTGGACAGGACACATTTTTTTCATAAAATGGAAAAAGTAACAGGAGCACATATATTTTATCTTATCAACCCATGAGTTAATAATTTTAGAGTTAATTACCTATCAGAAATTTACTTAATTAATTTAAGAGTGATTTTCTTTAAATACAGTGAATTTAGGATTCAATTGCAATTTGAATTGCAATTTAGGAAGGCAACTAATTTATCCCAATTACTTTGGTATCAGAGCACTCCTGTCTTTGAATCTTATGGTCAAGTAGCCATGAAGGTGGGATATATGGAGGAGACACATGGGGTGGTCACACTGTTTGTCAAAGGTACAGAATTTTTCTCTTTAACCAAAAAAATTAAAATATCAATTTAGCAGATAAGGCTAATATTTAAAAGATTAAAATTGTATTTTAAAGCAAATATTTAAGGTAAATAATGTAAAGTGAAATGCTACATTTTTTTCTAAATGAAAAGGAACAATATTTTTTGAACAATTGATTGATAACTGTATGGATGCAATTAGATTACTGATACGTTAATGTGGCCTAAATGACGGCGTTCTGTTAAATGGACATCTGCTAAAAAGCAACTTGTGTTTCCAATGGAGTTGACACAGAAATTAAGTTGACATAATGTCTTTCCAGTAATAAGTTGCACAAACTTGCCTGGTTTGGACAGAAATGGACTAAGTGACCCCTATGTAGCTCTAGATCTCCAACCAAGAACATTGTTCCCAGAGGTGAAAACCCAGAAAACACGGGTAGTGATGGCTAATCTCAACCCAGTTTACAATGAAATATTTGTATTGTAAGTATTTAATTTTATCATGCCTTTTCAGTAAAAAAATATCGGAAAGATGGTTGTTATTAAGATGGAAATTTTTTCATGTGGTTTTCTCACTCTTAGTGAATAAAATAAATTTTACTTGCTATAGAGAAAGGAGTAACTTGGCATCTTCAAACAGGACCTATATGAAATCCAATAACATGGAAAATGGTTTTAAATTATTTATATATTATATTCTGAAATATCATTTTCCTGTACACATTTTTCAGTCATGGTATTGGTAAGGACATGATGTCAAAACCTGGAGCCTGCCTGCAGATGACCATAATGGATTTTGACTGCTTAGTGGCAGATGACTTTGCTGGAGAAGTCTTGGTCTCTTTATCCTCTATTAACCCCATGGCCTTCAATGAACATGTGGAGGACCAGCCAGTCATCATAAGGTCACTACTGAGACCAACTGGACATTGTCAGGAGCTTAAGG